GACAGTAGTGACGCGCAGACGTCGAAGAAGAGGAAGAGATCAGGAGGCCGCCAAACGGAAGGTTGGGTTCCCATAATCTGCGTAGGCCGGCTGAATGCGACAGGGTCGTCGTCAATCTGGGGGTGAAGTGATGCAGGTCGCGAGCGAGGTGTCTGCGGCGAAGTCACCGTACGTCTCCGATAAGGGCTCGCGGGTGTCCCTGTCAATATACAGCAACAGTGGTGAGAAGCGCCGCAAGAGAGGTGAGACTTTGGGGTTGTTCAGTCGCCACCGTGCATGAAACCCTACTCAGTCGTTTGTCATTTTCCTTCCGAACGATTGTATTAGCGGTTTCAATGATGAGGTTGTGTAAAATTTACACATGAATTTACACTAAATTCATATCATGGTTTATTACCAGGTCAGTTGCCGAATGGTGCCCTCTATAAAGGATCCGCTCCCGATGGGCTTTCTCTAGACCAATTTCGGAACCCGGACAATGTGGAGTCTAGGTGCTCCTATCCAATGTCAATTATGTTAGTCAAATCCTCTCAGTACCGCGGGTCCTTCTAGAGCAACCCGAAAGCGCGTGCAGAACGGTCGAGAGTCTTTTGCTAGCAGCTTAGCAGAGTTCTTCTATAGAGAAGAATAATCTCGTCGCATGTTTCAAAAAGGCGACAGCATGTGCAACAACCATCTCAATAACCCGTGGCTTGTCTCGTTGTCCCAACACTCATGTCCCTGTTCTGGTTTTCCCGTTCGTCATGCAAAGGGCATCCATTATCGCGGAGCATGTCTCCCCAGGCCATTTTCATTCCACGGTGCTCACTATTGTGGGCGGCGGCAACTCAGGTCACGTGTGTGCCTCTCTCGTCCACGGCAACACCGAGGGCCGGGTCAGACCAAACGCTGAGATAACGTCGTTTTCATCGGAGCCTCTCTAGGTCCGTGTCCAACTGCTGACCACCAAACCAGAGGCTTGGATCAGCTCACCTGTGGTCCGTTTCCCCGATGGATGTAAGGACTACCTTGGTGCTCTCGCAGTCGCCGCCAGGGATCGTCGTGGTTTTCTTGTTCCAGCCTCGCAAGAAGGCCTGGTCGATAAGGTTTCGTCGGAGCCCAACGAAGTTCTGCCCAATGCCGACATAATTCTGTGGACTGGTCCAGTCAGCGCCACCAAAGAGGTCATGATAGGCCTATTAGGCGCACGATTCGGTCTATAGGCCTTTGAAATGATGCAGCCGTTTATCAACACTGAGAGAACAGTGGTCGGCACCATCTTCGCCCAGGGCCTCGTGCATGTCTTGGCACACAGGGTTTTCGGACCCGGGATAAAGTGAGGCTTCAACGCGTTTCTCAACGGCCCATCGCTCTCGACAGATTCTTCGCTCTCCGTAACATCCCTTGGCTGTGCCGGACAGTCAATGTCGGTCGAGAGTGCGAAGTAGTAGGCCCCAAATCAAGTAGCCATCCTCGTCTACTCTCGTTGCCGGACCTGTCTCCCATCTAGGCATCGAGTGTGCCGTCATAAACTTGAGCTCTCAGTGGGTGCAGGAAAACATCCAGCCGTTGTTTGCAGTGCAGAGTAAAGGTAAAAGTGCTGCAACTTGCTGGAGGCATGTTCCAGTAGGCTGTTCACAACCCAGCATCCACGTCATTGAGGACTTCTGTCCAATTGTGTTTAACCCGGCGAATCAGATCATCCACCCGGCAACGTACCACTGAGCCTGTTGGTGACAGCACGAGCCGACGTTGTTGTAGATACTGGGGCATCTTCAGAAAATGGGCGCCCGGCAAGAACTTGAAGGGAGAATCTCGCCCTAGGGCGTGGCTGTACGAGTTGTCATCTTGGTTCTAGCACACTGTCTATTGTAGTGATGCAGTTACCGCGACATGGATGAGCTTAGTGGTCATGTCCTCGAGGCGATGGATGAGGAGCTCCAGGCTATCAAGTCGGCTTTTTTCCAAGCGACCGGTACCCGACTGGGACAGGTCACTCGATGCCAGACGGGAACGCCCTCAGGCCGAGAGTCCTGCTTGAAGATCTTGCGATTGAGGGACAGACTCTTGGTACAGTATGGAGACCAAATTAAAGATAAGAGTACTCTGGCTAAGATGGTTGGGACTAATCAGGCTTACTCGATGGCCCGTACTCCGGTGATTGAGACGGCAGATGTACGCCCTATGTCGCCCTCTCATTGTAGTTGTGATCACTCAGGGAGTAGCACCGAACCCCAAGCATCGGGTGGTTGTGGACGACATCGGTTGGGGCCTCTGTGTAAGATGTGGTACTGTATTACAAAGGTCGTCCTTCACTTTGTAGGTCCTAGTCTCCGTTGCTGAACGTCTAGGAGTAGCAACAACTGTGATGAAGATGATGATAGAATGGCATCAACGGATCATGGGCAAGGAATTTCTCGTGAATAATCGGCTATCTGGCCAAGACTGCGCTGAACTTGTACGTGACTCGATGCCATGCCTATCTCTGGCCTCGACAGTGTAGTTCAACTCACTGCAGGTACTTCTGGGAGCAGGGGACCCACTGGAGCTCGTGGCGACGGTGCTCTCGGCACCCCCTCATCAACATCATCGTCAGTCATCATCAACTGGTGTCACTACTCCCCATTGATTTACATCATATATCATATTTTTGTGTAATCGATCGTTACCCTGCGAAGTCCTGTTGGGCTTAAGATTGGCAGAGCATGTGCAGATCATGCGGACATGGTGGGAGTTATCTCGCGTTATAGCCAACGATTTTTTCTCATGATATGAACTAAGGATGCTGACTAATTTTTCGTTACTGTGCAACATTTTGAGTTCGAGAGTAGTCGAATAATAGTCTTATTATTGTGTACTCATTTGGCCGGTTTACTGATTACAGTTCCTCCATGTTTTAGCGTGGGGAAGGACTATTGGTGCATGTCAAAATCAGTAGGGGCAAGGAACTAGAAGATTAGGGATCAGGTTTTGGTGAGATATCCGAGATATCTTCACGATGGGATGTTGGATGTACTGCGCTTGTAGCGAGCATGAAATCTTGTCAGCGTCGTGATTGTGAGTTGACTGAGTTTCGTAATGAATCGGGAACGACAATAAATCAGGAGCAACCATCCCGTTGTAATCTATTTGAGATTTACTACGTCGCGGCTCATGTAAGATTGACAACTCGAAACACACTCGAGCTTATTATAGCAGTGAAACCGTACAAGCTGAGGAACGAGTCATCGATCACAGAATCCATCCACTTGAGCACACATCCAGACTCCATACGTTACGGTAGCCTGTCGCCTAACCACCATCTTATGGTGAGCCAAGGGCTGTTTCAATGCGTGGAAGACTTCCTGGAAATACTGTTTAGGGATGAGCTCCGCCAAGTCACTCATCTTACCAATCTCGTAGAGACACTGACAGGCTGCTATCGACGTAAGCGGCCGACAGTCCCCGGACTCGAGCGCGTCGCAAAGGTGAGGGATGATACTCTGAGAGTCCGCCCTCAGCAGTGGCCTCGATAGAAGCCGCAGGAACAACTTGCAAGCGAATACGAAGGCCTCGCCTTTGCCCTCCTTCAATCCCAATAACATAGACTTCCTGGGCTCGTCACCGTAGGGTTCAAGACCAGACGTCTCCAGCGCACTGAATAGGCATGTAGACACATCTCCGTCTGCGGTAGGGTCGTATAGGCCGGCGACTATTGCTTCCTTTTTGGGAGTATCCAGTTCGGTCACGCTACTGTGGAGGAGTTGCTTCAAGCCCGATATTGTCATTGAAGACTTCCCTAGCTCTATCGCCCTGGACGGCTCGCGGTCTACCCCGACCTTCATAACAGTTGCCCAAATAGCAGGATCAGCATCCTTCGTCAGAGATCCTGATAAGCAGGCATCAAATGCATCATCGGGGCACACCTCCAGCACGTTGAGGGCGGCTGGCGGATCAATCACCACAGACTCGAACAGCGCAGACCAGTTAGACACGGGGCATTTACCGAGCTCATCTCGAGGGAGACCAGCAAGCAAGCCGGCGAATTTTCGAGGATTGGATTCGACCAGGGCGACCACCTTCTGGCACAAAGATTGATTTCCAATCGACAGCATACATGCAAGAGAAGCCAAGGAGCCTTCGTTAATGGGACTAGCCACGATGAGAGGCCATGGCCAAGTCGCCACCTCAGGTAGACTATCCATTAAGAAGTCGTAAGCATCTTCTGACCACTCCGGCGACTTCGCTATTTCAGACACACTGATTGTGCTCAGTATGGACTTGGCCTCAGCCGGATGATCAGCGAAGATTTGTGCCACCACGGCACAGGCCCACGCACTCGAATGAGGAGCTTGTTGGCGCACGGCAGGACGACCTCATTCAGTGTGATGTGAGGATGTCGAGGATAGACCTTCTTACACACTCGCCCAGCCACGAGCAATAGCACGTCATGGCCTTGCTCGCTACGGGGGAGTCCGCGCCACATGCTGGGACCACTGCTGCTAGCGCCGGTTGGATGTCCTTATCTTGAAGTTTGAGCAAACACTCAGCCGCCTGCTCAGCGAGACCTTCATCGCATATAGTTCCCTCACTGAGATACTTGATACAGTAGTCTACCACCGCATGCTTGTTGGCTATGATGACTTGTGGTGAACTCATCGCTGGTACAATAGCCCGTCTCGCAATCTCATCGTAGAACTCAAAGCTGCCTCTGCCACTCGCCAAGAGGAGCTGCTGAACCCCGACAGCTTTGGCCTCATCGTCGGACTCAGCGGACTTGGCAAACATAAAAAGGAGAGACTCCACTGCATCTCGGCAGTTGCTGGCTCCGGTCTCTCGAACGAAGGCCAGCCAGAGCTCACAGAGGAGATACTTCAATGGCGCGCTTTCCTTGGTCACTTGGTCGAGACAAACTGAGAAGGTTCTACGACAGTACTCCTTTGCGATGAACTCCTTATACGGGCTTGTAACGATAGCCTCGCTGATGTAGCGCTGCGCGGTGAGCATGCTGAGCTCGTCCTCAGGGTTGGCCAGGACGTCCAGGAGGGAGGGCATCGCTAGACGGACCATGGCTTCCTCGCTCTCGAATAGGACATTGTAAAGTGATCGACTCAGCTTCTCTTGGGAGATGTCCGCCACATCGGAGTCGCGTTGCTGGAACTTGACGGGGAAGTACACAGTGGCCGACTCGAAGACTATCTGTGCAAAGCTGGCAAGCTCTGTCGCAGGTTCGAACCCTCCATCAGAATATTCTTCAGCATTTTTAACGTCTCCCGCAAGCTTATTCAAGTGCTCTGCATAAAAGCAGACGACTTCCCGTTGGAGCTCAAAGGCCAGCAGGAGATTCCTAGGGTCCCTCTCGTCCTCACACTCCATGACCACACCCTGGGCCAAGACCTTCGCCACTGCCCTCGACCTGATAACCTGGTCTCGGAGCTCAGGCTGGACTATCACCAACTCCAACAGCTTCAACACGGCATACCGTACGGGTTGACTCTGCGAAGGTGCATTAACGTAAAGTAATACGTGCTTTACGATAACGTGGAGAAAAATGTCACAGTGGAAGGCCAGAGGCTGAACCCCATTTGATCCCTCGAAGCGCTCGTCGCCTGTCAGAAGCATGCCGATGTAGTCGTCAGTCTCAGCCTCCTTATTCACCTCCTCTACTGTCAGCTTGGCTGAGGCCAGTTTACGACCGTGGTTGGTGAGGAGTCCTATAAGGCCCTTCAAAGCGTACTCGATGCAGACCCAGTCCTCGAGCTTGTCCACGAAGAATCGTCCAACAGTCTTCACTTGTACGCTACCCAGTGGGAGCTTCGGCAACCTCTCAATGACGTCCGACAGGAGCTCCACTGCCAGCCGTCGGACCGCTGAGTCCTCAGAAACCAGGCTGCACTGAAGCTGCTGCACAAGCTCTAGCAGGGACATGCGGCCCTTGTTGATAGAGATCAACAGTGTGGACAGTGCTATTGCACGCTCAGAGCGACCGGTGCTCTCGCTTGTCAGCAAACTCACTGGATCTGTCCCAGGGGGATTTCGAAGACCTCGTTCTGTGCTCGGAGGACCATTGGGAGTATCCTCGGCAGGGTTCGCCATGAATACAGAGACCAAGGGAACTGGTGACAGAGAAGAGGTGTCACCACTGAGACTGGAACGCAAAGCAAGCAAGAGTAAACACATCCGAGTGGATCATGACAGTAATAACCGTACACGCACAGTAACACTTTCACAATATGCAAGAGGTAGACGAGTACGAGTTGCTCCTCGTAGGCGCTCTGAAATACCGCACTCCTACCAACCACGATTATTTTTATTTAACTCACAATCGTTCAGTCTCTTCCGCGTGGCTGTCGTCCTGGGTTGGGTAGTAGCCTTTCCGACCCTTCAAAATGAGGTGCTTCATATCCGAGTCGAATATTCTGAGAACAGCTCAAATTCCGATTTGCCGAATGAGTGGTATACGAGTACTACAGAAAGCAGTCACGCCAGCAACCGACAAAGGTGAACTAACCACAATTCGCTACCTTTCGATGCGCTTATTGTTGCCAAAGGGAGCTCCCAACAGTGCCTCGATAGAGTCATCAGCATTCTTGCCGTCCTCTACGGAGCCGTGGCCCGCCGATTCCGGGCTAGAGGGCAGAGGATAGAATAGACCATCGCTTTCGGGGCGACAAGGGTCCAATGGGAGCAGCCAGTAGAGGAATAGTGGACCGAAGTCCGTCCCGAACACCTGAGGGGAACAGACTACATTATAAGCAAGGAAGCACTCCGTACAGCTGCAGCATTGGCCAGTCTGGTGCCGAGGTCGTAAGGATTCGTAGCCACATAGGCTGCCTCATGTGTGGTGATATTACGGCAAATTTGGGAACATTGCACGGTGAGGTTGTAGTAGAAGTAGGGAAGCGCCAGGAACTGAGAGAACGAAGCATAGCAGATGATGGGAGTGTCGACTCCCCTCCATTACTGCGACCAAGAGGATCGATGCCTCGAGGATTCGGACGGCCGTGAGGGAGAGGGCAAGAGTTGCAACAGTCGCACTGCCAGCAGCATGGGATGCGACTACGACCTATGGGGGACCGAATGGCGAGGAGAAGGGGAGAGAGAAGGCACTTACTCGGACGAAGAAATGGGGCGCCACAGAGAGCAGGAACACTGTTGAGGCGAGCGCTCCATAGAAGAGGAATAGTAGGTAGAACTTGTGGTTGCGGAAACCGATGCAGGTGCCTGAGAGGCGGCTGAGGCGCTGGCACTGCGCTAGTGTGATGAAAATTTGATTGGATTTTTCACGGAACGATTACGAGTAGAACTGATTTTCCCTGGGGTACTGTTCATGACCAAAGCTGTATCGCACTTTACACCTCACCAATCTAGACTAGGAAATACAAGGTGCCCTAGATGCCTACCAGTGAGCCAATCATGGCGGTCATGCCGCAGAATGCATTGCCCACACGTCGAACAGTGATGAGCCCTCTCGGGTCTATGCCGCATACATACGCCACATATCGAGGAGGTGCGAGGCTGAACAACCATCGGAAAAGGGGTATCCAAGACTGACGAGGACCCACTTGAAAAGTTGATTGCTCCGTGACGCTGATCCGTATCGAATTCTTAGTGACGTACTCTGTCCACCTTCGCGGCACCGTGCCCGGCCTGTTCATGCGTACCCTAGAGCAGAGCAAATACCCCTTGTTAAATGCTCGCCGTACTCACCGTAGATAGCACACAAAAGAGAGCAGCCATGGTATGTCGAAGGACAAGGCCAACGTCCAAGCCTGCCATTCACCACCAACCCCCGCGTCTATACCTAAGCAGTTGGTCCACATACACCTCCACGTCTACTTCCTTGCTCTAGCTAGTAAGCAGTAGCCTTCGACTAGGCACTCCCTACTACCTCTGGTTCGGCCATGATCCATTATAAAGTAGACATTGTATGCTAGGAAGGTGAGGAAGAAGCACAGTATTGAGGTCATGAATCCATAGGGCCAGGCAACCCTTACCCCAGCACTACTGGTCGGCTTGGATGGTCGACGCTCGTATATGATGACAATACCAACGAGGAAAAGCTGTCGGAAAAATAATATCCTCATTTTTTTAAGCGCTAAAAATACCACAATTAGTATGGGAAAATAAACATATGTTCAACTACGCGTATTTCGGACAACAAAAAAATTCTAGGAAATTATTGTTGGTTTCTGTATAGTTTTGGGCGAGTTCGTGAGTGAGCTTCTGAACTGCTGAGCTCAGCTGACGAGAGCGGGAGTATGTACCAGTAATGACAACGTCACCACCTAGATGCCTTTGAATGACAGCTACTGCCTACAAATGCGCCCCTGAGATCGCGTGCAAGACCTTCACTGTAGCGGAAGCTTTTTTTAATTAGTTCCAAGCTATCTACCACCGACAAGTTTGTCCACTTCATCCCTCACCCCTATCTCCAAGAAATCAACATAACCTCACTGTGCCCTGTCACCACGGCTATCATGGCAGTGTGGGAAGATATACACATCGCCAGTTACATGTGTTGGTGACAATATGTGACTTCTGAGGAAATTTCAGGATATTCCTGCTCGTTTATGTACACTTCTGTTCTAACTATAAACTTCTATAGTTAGTAGGGAAATTCTCGAGCTCAGCTTAGAGAAGCGAACATATATTTCAACTCTGGGAACATGAGCAACAATCTATCACGACCGAGTCCTCAGATTAACACAACAGGACGCTGGAAATTAATTGAAACATTTAAAAGATCAGCAACTGACCATACAGCATTTTGTACAATACTATTGATCAAAATTCATTCACATTTCTTGCAAAATCATGACTTCTCTAAACTCCAGTCGAGAAGCAAGTACGTACTGGCCAGGGACTTCTACTAGTGAATCTCATTGGAAGAGTGAATTCGCAGCCGTCAGTGGCGATGGCCACAGCCACAACTACTACGGACCACCCTGTGATGAGGCTTCACTTCACGAGGGAGCTCATCAGCCCAAATGATCTGCAAGTCGATTCAAGGCTTGATCAAAACGAGTAGAGACCTTACCCTTCCTTTTGTCTGCTTATCCTCCTGCTTCACCGTCTTTCCCTCAGCCTCAAGCCTAGCGACCTTAGCCATCGGACCCATCGGAAGGGTGCTCGCCACAGATACTACAACGGTGAATGATAGTGGACAAAGGCACTCCATACTTACTTTTCAACAAATGTCGTTGTCGCTCTCTGTCGGCCGAGGCCTGTAAGCTCACTGGGTTGGGGTAGTCAAAGAACTCTCCCCGTAGTAGAACAGCCTGCCCTTGGAGATCGTCCTTGTAACAGTCGAGGCACATCTGAGCCTTACAGTCGCACTTTATGGTGTACCTATGGACAGCTGCAGAACCTCTCTAGACCGCCAACGTCACCTAGCACCCCCCGGAGGGAGAACGCCGCACATCTCGCAAGCCATCTCGCTGTAAAGTGTGCCCTTCTGGTCCTTGGTGTGAACAGTCCATAGCTTTGCTGGTCTGGCGATCAAAGTGAACAGATGCTCCAAACGATGTTGCTTGTTAGCAGGCTCCTTGAAGCATCTACTGCACAACTCGTACTCGGCACAGTAGTTGCACTTGTATCTAAGGCCAAGACGGCTCGTGACACAATCTGCTGTCCCCTATCGTAAACCCGTCATTACCTTCTACCCACAATTGGGGACACCCCACAGCCGTCACAGATCGAACCATAGTGAATAAGCTCAACGGCTTCGGTGTTGCCCTCATTCCAAAAGGACGGTGTAACAACTCTCGAACATTTGTTGGCGATCTTCAAAATCTTACTACGGTGAGTGAGGTAGCAAGAATCGCATAAGTTTATATCACCACCGAGACCGTCACAACGGAACCTGATACGATATCTGCTCGCGAAAATGACGATCCGTCCGTACTGTCTGGCCCTGTTGGTCGCGCCACTGCAACAATGGCAGAATATCCTATAGCTGATGAAAGAGCAGCCGTCTTTGCACAGGAGGGCTCGAAGGGACTCCGACGGCGGGTCGTTTTTGGGAAAGGTCTCCGCGATCATCATAGGGAAGGTTTGATCAGGAAGCTGCAAGTCCTTGATCCTGAAAGGAAGCTATTTAGACTAGGACCGAACCACAGTGATTTACTTCGCGACATCGCCGGGCCATGGGACTCCTAGACTGCGCATATCACGTAGGAACTGCTCATTGGCGACGTCGTCGGGTCTACTGTCCCATATACCATCCTCGGCCATACTCACTACGGTGAGGGTGTGGCTCTGGTCATGACCCTTGAAGCAACGCGAACAGAACGTCCGGTCCGAACACGTCAAACACTTGTAACTGTTAGGATATAATGACAACAGGAGGACAACAACTCTACGCTGCTCACCATCGGCCGATGATCGGCCCCATTCCACAATCGTGGCAGAGGTCCATGTGCAGGACGGCAACGTTATGACCATCCTTAGGCTTCGGAGGATTTGACGAACGATTATGCACTGGAGTGACCTCAGGCCCTCCTCCAACATCGAGCCGAAGCTCCTTAGGGGAACCAACGCGCATCACACCATGCTTGCTGAGTAGCATGCTGATGCTGGTGTTCTTCCCGTAAGAGGACAAGGCATTGCCCTTATGAACTTGCACGCTGTACTCGCTACCCTTACCCAATGCTGGCCAAGCTTCTTCGATGATACTGAGGAGAGGCGATGTGGTGACACGATTGGGAGCTAGGACTACCTGTACAGATCACTCACTGTCTTCACAGTCTTCAGAGGGCATCGACAGCGCAGGGACTCCTCACCGTAGTGAAGCTTCAACACGACGAAGGCATCGGCGAACATGGCCAACAACACCCTACACCAACGATTACAACAATGTTCGCCACGAGGGGTGACACTGGTCGTCCTCTACTAGCGTCGTCACAATGCATTGCGCGACACTCATCGACTGTCCACACAGCGCTGACTCAGAGTTGGAATCCCGACGACAGAAACTCTGTGTTAAACTCGAGAATCTAGGTTTGGAAAAAGTCGATTATTGTTAAGTTGAACTCTGAAAGGATAATGAAATTCAAAAATCGATTAGTCACCGACGGCTGAGATAAATCACTCGTTCGCTTGCTCTTTTTCCCCAAGACGACAACGCATAATCGCTCATCTCCCAGGCCCATCGTAGAACTTGTGGTCAGCCTTGAACTCCTTTGGCGGTTCAACGACCCACTCCAACTGACACAGAGCACCAGTAACCGCCCTTGGAATGGGTGTTGCAATTCATGTACAGTTTCCTCAGCTGAGCTCTAGAGTTTCCTCACTACACTGAAAATTAAAACACGACTTCCCCAGTTAAAATTTCGACAATAATTTCCCAAAATTTCCGCATAATTTTCTCATTCTCATCAACGCACGTAGCTGACCATGTACATATTTCCCACATTGCTCAGAAGCTCTTGGCCAACAACAGTCCCAAGGCACTCACAGAGTCAGAATCATCATCGTCATCAATAATATCAAAACGCCCTGCTTGACGGGCCAGCCTTCTGATGAACTGTATCACGGGCGGCTGAGTGTTGAGTCGCGAGGCGAGCGAACCTGTAACAGCACCAACATAACCATCCACGGCTTAGCTCTCGTCCGTCTACTTTTAAGGGCGACACGTAGAGTCCGACTCCTGGTCCTGGCCGACTGAGCCCACGGTAAAGAGCTGTGACTCATGCTGCTGCTGGCCAAGGGCGCCCGTAGCTGCACCGCCTCCTTGTGCAGCATTTTCTGGTAACAAGATTGACAATAGAAAGCATTGCGACTGTCGGGCGGATCAGTCTTCATCCTATACCTATTGTGAGCACTGGCTGTGCACAGGCAAGGCCATCGACACTCACTTGGCTCCACCTCGAGGATGGTTACCACACATCCTACACTTCATATCTCCAATGGGGGTCCCTCGAGGCTCTCTCATCTTCAGCGACCACAGAGTGACCATCCTAGCAACCATTGCAAAAGCATGTCCCTCCTTATGGCCGCCTTGAGCTCGACTATGGTAGCATCGGGAGCAAAGGTCCAAGTCCGAGCAGATGAGGCAGGTGTACCTGATACCATCCATGGCTGTACGATGAAAACAACCGCCTCACCTGGCGCCAGTGATCGGGGACATTTCACACTCAGTGCAAGTAACTCCATCGTGGACAGCTAGGAGCGGCCTGTCGTCGCCTGCCACTGCCATGCGCCCAGGTTCCCATACTCTCGAGCACTTATAGGCAAGAGCCAGGACGTTGTCCTTATGAAGAGGATAGCACGTATCGCATAGATTGATAGGAGCACGGGTGTCACTCTTGAACCTGCTTGGAATCATAGCACTCCGAGCAGCGACAGGTATGACCAACAACCGGTTTTACTCGCGCTAAAACGTTGTAATGCGAACGTAGTTGACTACCATAATCGCCGATGACTGCTACCTTCTGGCGCTCGGAACAGTTGCACTGCAGCAGTGGCAGAAGATTGAGTAGTGCATCGCTTTGTTCCTATCGCGATAGCATGAACGGTCGGGGACATCATCGGGTATCTCATCTTCGTCAAAAGTACGGGCAAGCATTGGAGGTAAAGGCGTTTTCTGGATATCTTGGAGCCTACGTCAGACTATGCAGCTGAGAGAAACGCATCCATCTGAGCATGTAAACAAGATCTCCCGAGCCAACACCTACTCGAACTTCGGCTGCACTGTTGGAACACCCAGGGCCCTCAGCTTGAAAGCTTGTCGATGCAGACTCTCGAATAGACCATAATTTTCCCAAATACCATCAACAGAGGGAGCATAGGAGATCACCTTATGACCACCAGCGTGTCCATTGCGGCACGCGAAGCACAGGTCCTTCTGACGGCAAGTAAAGCAGATATACCTAGAGGGCCAAAGCTGGGCCATGCTCCATAGACGAGCCCTCACCACTGCCCCACGATCGGGAACATCCCACACACATCGCATGTTTCCCAATAGTTCACTGCCAAAGGATGCCCATCGACAGCCTGCACCCCTTCCTGCTGTCCCACGGACGGTGCCGACACACTAGGGCTTTCCGATGACTCAATCTTGAGCCTGAGTTCAGGTACATGCCCCGATGGGTCCTTGTGGTCCTCAGACAAGTAGGCGACCACTGGAGTCTTAATGCCCTTCTGTCCCAATACACCACCGTTTGGCAGTATAACCTTCCACACACCTTCTTCGAGGAAAGGCCAGGCTGTTACGATCAGCCTACAGAATCGAAACCAAGTCCGCTATCACTAAATGCTACCCGCGCCTACTTCCTCAACTGCCCCATCGTCGTGAACTTGTCAACTCTCAGTTTAACGCGAAGAGATTCCCCGCCATAGCTCACTTTGAGGACGTAGTCGTTCGCCATCTCGATGATAACCTAATAGAACCAACCATAGGAGCTGCACTGGGAGGAAGGGACCAGTAACCAACTTACTCTGTTACTCCTAGTTAGTCTTTTGCTCAGTACGCCTACGCACACGTTTTTGACCACAACTGAGTTCTCTGGCGCGCGACATATCTGTAGCTCTGGCCATGTCTATGGCCCCCTCTGAAGAACAGTAACTGTACAAAAATGGGAACAACCCGCTATCCCAACAGTGACCAACACAACACACTTATAATGTAGGTCATCAAGCGCTAGATCACAAAGGCATTAAAGTAAAATTGAAGACAAGATGCCAACAAGCTACTGGGGCGTAGGAGAAGGATAGAGCAAAGTGCGGTGATGAGGCTTCACCACCCGTGGAGGCTCATCTGCCCATAGTACCTCAAACCATGCACGTTGAGTTCCCTACAACAAGGCGATACTCACCGGGTTTGGAGGAAGTCAGGCTCTAGGGGGAAGGGCTCCTCCCC